CTTGTGAGCAACGGCACATTTAAATCTTACAAATATAGTTATTTGGCTTATATCGTGATAGATATCGTTATCGCCTGAAATGAAAAAACCATATCGTGATATGAAAAAATCTCATATCGCCCAGCTCTATTTTATTGTGTTACTTTTATTCATCACTGTTGTTACTTGACAATGAGCAAAGTATATTGAGTTTGCTGCTTTGAATGAGCAGTGTGAACTGCTTTAATGATTGGTGATGCCTACATTGCCATGTAATGAAAACCCATTTGAATTTGATCAGTTGTACAACTTTAGAAATAGGACTTGAATTTGAAACAGACGTTGTTCATGCTTTATACCTTAAACAGAAGTGTTGTTAGTTAAGTGTGAACAATGTTCATTTGAAGTAATTCTGACCTCAGTCAGGTTTTTTGATTTGGAGAAAGGAGTCGAGACTCCACGGAGAACTTTGGATTACAGACTTTGTGGAAATCCGCAGAAGAGGAATAATTTTCCATTGCAATGGATGGCAAGCCGCAGCCCATATGGAACTGAATCTTGAAGTCTGGTTCCCTGAACTGTGGTAGGACAAAACTGTGCAAACCATACATCGATTGTGGACTGAACTCACACCAATAAACTGCCAGATCACCAAACAGCCCTGAACTGGATTCCATTGACACTTTAAAAGACCCGGGTCTGACATTCGTTTCTTTTTTACTTTTTGGGTATCTGTGCGCGCACACACAATTTTGGTTATTATTGTCAAATGCAATACAGTGTACAAATTTCAAAGTTGAACCATTACTTCATCATTTGCGGTTGTGTTTTCATTGTCGTTACCCATCCTCTATGCTCCGTTCCTGAAGTCTTCTGATTTGCCCATTGTTTATATATTTTGTTACATACTGGTTACATTCTTCTAAGAAAGCAAGACTCAGACTTGGCCTCGAGATGGTCTACAAGAAATAAATGCTTGTAGCAAGTTTCAGTAACAAAATGGGGTGACATAATCATTGGCAAATAGGACAAGTATGGTCAAAGTTTTCTCTGAATGCTGCACTGACCACACTGGAAAAGCCTTTGAAACAGTATTACATACTACAACATTTCAGCAACACTTGCTTAAAAAGAAGACTATGTTCAACCTTCATTTTCACCGCACACTGTGATCTGTGAGTTTATGCAGAGGCAGTGGGTTACCTCTATTACTTGTTTGTAAGGTTTTAGTTAAGAACACACAGCATACATGTTTAATGAGTGATACATTCTTTGAATTTTAAAAGCTTCACACTCATGGCATCTGCTCTGAAAAAAGCTAAATGACTGTACCTGGAAGAATCACACCATTTTTAGACACTCATGTCACAGCTGACAAGGATTTTCAGTGTAGAAACAAATTAGGCACACATCGGGAGAAATGGTATCAAAGTATGTTTGAAGCTCAGAAGAGTATGTCTTGTTCTCCTGCCAGATACATAGTCAAAGATGTTTGAGAGACAGGAAGTATACACAAAGCTTCACAGCTGTCTTCCCACTTTAGACATGAATGGAATCTGTACAGCAGAGTGAAGATCACAAAATAGGGACATTTTCACACCTGAGCTACTCTGTAGTAAAACGGCTGTTTGCTAAGAGGAAATTCCATCAATCCATTTTCTTCTGCTTATCTGGGGCCGGGCAGCAGAGGAGCCCAGACCTCCCTCTCTCAAGCAACCACCTCCAGCTTATCCAGGAGAACACAGAGGTGTTCCCAGGCAAACTGAGAGATATACAGTGTGTCTGTCGCGGTGGGACATGCCCAAAACACTTCACCCACGAGGTGTCCAGCAGATGTCTCATTTCCCGAGCCACCTCATCTGGCTCCTTTCAGTGTGGAAGAATAGTGTCTCAAATCTCCTCCATTTGGCTAACCTCCTCACCCCATCTGTAAAGGAGAAGCCAGCCACCCTTGAGAGAAAGCTGATTTCCACCTCTTGCATCTGCAGTCTCATACTTGCATTCACCACCCAAAGCCCATGACTGTGGGTGAGGGACATAGATTGACCCGTAAATCAGAGCTTCGCTTTATGCTCAGCTCTCTCTTTACCATGACAGACTGGTACACTGTCTGCATCACTGCAGCCGCAGCACCAATCCGTCTGAGTTGGCACTCCGGTCTGTTATCTGTTGCTGAGGACCATTGACTCGGATTTGAAGGTGGAGCTTCTCTTTTCCGCCGCTTCACACTCAGCCTCAAACCGCTACCGTACAAGCTGGAGGCTACCACCTGATGAAGCTAACAGAACTACAAAAAGAAATTCCATCCTTAAAAGTAATGAACAAAAACCGAGACAAAGGCCACCCTGGCAAAGTCCAACACCCACTGATAATGAGTCCGACTTAATCCCGTCAACACAGGCCAAGCTCTTGCAACGTTTGTATGAGGACTGGCTCATAGCAAAGGGGCCTGAGAGCCCATACTCCTACAGAATATACTGAGGGATGCAGTTGAATGCCTTCTCCAAGTCCAGACAACACTTACAGGGCAAACTCCCACCCACTCTCAAATATCCTCGAGAGGATAAAGAGCTGGTTCAGTGTTCAACGACTAGGACGAAAATTGCATTATCCTCCTTCATCCAAGGTTCAGCTAACGAAAAGACTTCTTTCCAGCATAGACTTTCCCAGGGAGGCTGTGGATTTGTGATGCCCCTATAGTAGGGACACACCCTCCAGACCCATTTCAGACCACCCTGGCCTCACCATAGTCCTCCCATACCTGGGTTTTTGCATCAGCAATTGCCGAAGTCACATTCCGCTTGGCCTGGTGGTACTCCATACCTTTGGCTGCCACTGAAGTCCTGCAAGCTAACCAAGCCCAATAGGACTCCTTCAAGATGGTGGAAACCTCGTTTCCACCATGTTGTTCGGGGTTTACCACCTTGCAGTCACAGCTCAATGCAGCAGCCTCAGCAACAGAGGTGCTAAACTTTGGGCCATTTGGACTCTGTGTCCCCAGACTCCTTCGGTATGCTGTTGAAGCTCTGCCAGAGGTGGATCTCGTGGACCAGGGGCCTCTGCCAGGCATTGCCAGTGCACCCTCAGTACAAGTTTAGGTGTGTCAGCATTCTTCCTCGCAACCTCATCCAATTCGCCAGCGGGTGGTAATAGACTGACAGCTCAGACTCTCTCTTCACCCGAGTGTCCAGAATATTCAGCTGCAGATCTGATGAAAAGATTACAAAATCAGTCATCGACCTGTGACCTCCTGGTGCCTCGTGCACTAGTGGACTTTGTCACAAACTGTGGTTTGCACAGAAGTCCAGTAACAGAACACCGCACGGTCCAGATCAGGCAGGCCCTTCCTCCGGGTCTCACTGTCATTGCCGACCCCGCTCACATTCTTCACCCCGCATTTCAATGGCTTCCCTCTGGGCGGCGCCTCCGCTGCATTTCCTGCAGGACTGAGGGGAGGAGCGCCACCTTTGTCCCCAAAGCCACTCTGCTTTTTAACTCCAGCTGATAAGAACATTTCCCACACCAGAAACATAAACTACACTCTTTTTATACTGCCGACACTTTACTCACTTTTACTCAGTTATTTATTCACCTATTCAGTCAAATTAATTTTAAAACTATATATTCTGTGTATTTGTTATCTCACTCTTATCGCCTGCTTATGCCCTGTTCTTATCTTCAACGTCATGCTGCTCTGTTGTATCTTAATTGCTCCTTGGGGATAAATAAAGTCATTCTGATTCTAAATGGGATACATTGACACGTCTCCTAGTAGAACAACAGAGTCTCCAGGTGGAGAACCCTTGAGCGCCCCACCTAGGGTTTCCAAGAAGGCTGGGTACCCTGAACTGTCATGCAGATGACAGTCAAGACCTGTTCCCAAAGGCACAAGGAACAAACCACTCGCCCACTTGGAAAAACTCCCAAAGTAAAAGCAGCAAGCTGAGTGGATACAAAATTAAGGGAATATAAAATTAAAGGTGGTGTTGATTTCGCTGAGAGAATTAGTCAGTGGGAAATGGGGCTTAAAAAAGCCTGGTTGACTTGTGGTGACTTGGCTGCCATCTGGGCAACACTGGACAGTTTTTATTTCAGGGAATAACTGGGAAAAGAGCAATGTCTGCAAATTCGCTAGAATAGAAAAAACAGTCAAATATGATGAAAAAAAACCACTTCAAAGATTGAAGTTTGATAAATGACGATATTATTCTGATCATTTATTAAACTTTTGTTGCCATTAGCTCAGTCGTTGATATAAATGGCAGGTTTTATAGCTGCTACATATTTGTTTTGTTTTTCCTTTCTGCATCACGAGTTGCCACTTCACATGAACACATCTGTCTGAATAGCAGTAGAACAGGCAGAGAGAGAGAGAAAGGGAGGGCTGTTTAGCAACACAGGCATCGCTACAGCCTTCACCCAAAACGAAGCTCATGAAAACGGAAGACGTCCTCCTCCTGCTCTCCCTGTCACCTTAACGCCTGATACTGTTCCTCTGGTGAGTCAACGCACTGTAGACGCTATTGCTGTTGTTTTTGGGTTTGGGTGTATTTTGGATTTATTTATTTATTTATTTTTGGCTAGGTGTGGAGTGAGCCCTGTTACACAGACATGATGAAAGCAGCCATGGAGAGTGGCATATGCTGAGACATTCTTCGTGGGCAGCACAGATTCAAATGCAAGGCTTTCTTTCAGATTACAAGCCAAAGAGAAAGAGTTGTTGTATCATAGCTCACAGCTGTTTTGTGCTCTGTCAGCTGGGTGATGTTAATAAGAGCAGCTAATGTTAGTAACTGGACCAGTTGTCACAGTCTTGCTGTGGATGTGTCGGATGTTCATCAGTGTGAAACAAAGCCAGATATTATTTTCATCTTTAGGCACTGCCTTATTTTTTGTTACGGTGAACGTTAGATGTAAAGGATTTAAAATGTAGAATTTATCTTACAGCAAGTGAACCGTCTAAAACTATTGTTGTTTCTAAAAATGAAACATTTATTTATTTCCTATTTGCTCATCTTGGTATATCCATTTCATTGTGTTTGCATTAGAACATTTAAAAAAAGTGTTGTTTTTTTCTATAAGCAATAAAAAAAAAATCTCGTAATCCATCAGATTAAAGGAAAAAATGAAAAGCATCTTAGTAAAGTAGCTGAACATTACTAAATCAAAAACGTTTAGTTTTCCTGAGCATCTAGTTTCTGGAACTCAGCTGGAGGGATGAAGGCCGTTCTTCTAAAACAGCGGGCCACGGGCTGGTACTGGTCCGTGAGTCGTTTGGTACCAGGACGCGAGAGTTGAAATTCATAGTTTTCAGGGTTTTATCATTTTTATCATTAACTCTGTTTCCCTGGATCTTTTCTTGTTTGTTATGAATAAATCTTCTTTAACTGTATTTATCCACGACACCTTAAAGGCCGTGGCACAAAAAAGGCTGGGGACTGCTGATCGAAAAGACATCCTCAAATTCAAATTCAAATTCAAATTTTATTTGTCACGTACACAGTCATACACAGTACGATATGTAGTGAAATGCTTGGACAACTGCTCGTGACCTAAAGAAAACAAAAAAGGAAAAGGCTATGAATAAGATAGGAAATAAATATGAAAAATTAAAAAGGGTAAATTTAACTAGGAAGGAATAAAATATAAATTAAGGTTAAAAATGAAATAACTGTACAACACAAATTAGAATGAAGGGTAAATTTAACTGGGAGAATAAGATAAAATATATAAATTAAAGTTGAAAATAAAATAACTGTACAACAAAATACACAATATAGAACTATATGTCAGACTATATGTCCTGTCATCTGCTGTTGGGTTGACAGTGTTGGAAAGGTTACTTTTAAAATGTATTCCACTACAGATTACATGCCCCAAAATGTATTTTGTAACGTATTCTGTTACATTACTCAATGAGAGTAACGTATTCTGAATACTTTGGATTACCTATTATATTATCGTGCTTTTTACAACTACATGAATGTCCTATTGCTGTGTGATTCATTACTGAAGGTTACTCTCTACACCAACACCAGCTAGATGTTTAAATCTTAATATAAATGAGTAACAGTAGGTGGACATTAGGTAAGGCTGCGCTTTTTGTAGTGATCTCGTATATAAAACAGGTCCGCGGCTCCGAACCGTAGTAAAGGGACCTCTGGCTAATACGTCGGGTTCGTGTCGGGCTCGTAGCTGAAAACTAGCTTTACTTTGTTGTCTGGGTCAACTTTGCTAGCAGAGACAGAGAGAGGCGTTGAAAGGCTGCTCCAACGGGACTTATTGTTGCGGAGGAAAACACAAACACAGCGTACAGTCGAGTCTTAATAGCTTACTTACAGCTGGGCTACAGCACGGACTACACTGCCCATGAGGCTACATTCTTTAGGGTGATGCCTGTAACATTCTGCCTGTTGCCTTCATATTAAATTGAATAATAATTTTTAAAAATATTTCTTCACGTCATTATGGCAGCAAGTAGGGTGACATGGGCCGCGAGATTGAGACCCAGGCATTAGAGCCTCTTACTGTGTGTTTTGTTTGGGTTACCAAAAACAGAGAGGGCATAGCCGAACATATGAAACAGGAAAAGACTGCAGTGTAATCCATTTATTTCAACAAAGTAACTGTATTCTGAATACCACCTTTCGGTAACTGTAACAGAATACAGTTACTCATGTTTTGTATTTTAAACACGTAACGCCGGTACATGTATTCCATTACTCCCAACACTGTTTGTTGATGATGATGGGAGAATAATGGGCTAATGGCTTACCCCATGTTGTTGTATTTCATTGGACCTTTTTGAAAAAGAAAAATTGAAAATTCCACATTTCCAGTGTTGCCGTCTTCCTCTGACTCCTGCACACTAGTGGAACATGGTTGGGACCAATCAAGTCAGCTAGGATGGTTTCCAACAGGATGGCTGTTACAAGTGTCCGTCAGTCCCGTCTCACATTTTGAAGAAGCTCATATAAACTAAGTTAAAGCTGCATAACCATGGCAACGAAGTCAGTCAGAGGAGAATGATGTTGGTGCTCCAATCACAGCAGGTAGCTTTTAGCTAAGCCAATGCTGAAGTTAACAGCATGTTTATGGTTGTGGAATAGTAGATGCTACTGATACTAGCTCATTTTGGAAAGTCTGTACACTCTAAAGTAAATCACTTCACTGTGACAGGACAAAACCCTGTTTGTTTGTTTTTCTATCATAAGAAAGTTTTGATGATGGGAAGTGACTCATAAAATATGTTTTGCCATGTGCAGGAAATTTTTAGATGGCGCCTAACCAACAGTACGTTAACTTTGTTAGCTTATAGCACAGCTGCTACAAAGGTTGGTAGTTTTGTAGTACAAACATGAAATGTGGTGTTTTTTGTTCACTGCGTCTGATCGGTACAGACGAAATAACAGTTGTGCCTTACACCGTGAATCAGCCACGGAAAGTGCTTTTCCCACTCGCTGTTGTACTTGTTGCCTTTCTTGTCAGACGCATCTTCAGTTGGTGCAGGTTGTGTGTTTGTTTCATCCTGATGAGCTCGTTTTCTTCCATTTTCTTTTAAAGAGTTCAAATATTGCTCACCTAACCCTTTTTTTCAGTGTGTAAATACGCTTCCCAGTTCCATTAGATTCTCTGAGCCGATCGCGCATACAGTCTACCAGCGGCAAACACAGAAGAATTGTGGGACATTTTGTAGTGTTTAAGGCCAATTACAATACAATTTGTTACCACAACAAACTCTGCAGCATTGTGACATACCGTGGCTTTACAAAAAAACAAAGTGGCTTGAAAAGTTTGCCCCATATGCAAAGTCATTTATCGCACAGACAGCTTACAGCTGTAAACACCTGTATATCACTGTCAGATGAATCAGATCAGTCAACTCTCTGCTTTAATTGTTGAACAAATGAAGCAAGGCAGCAGATGAACTGGGAAACGGCAGTGGTTGTGTGTACTAACTGGATTTAAATCGGTCTCCAAGTAAAGACTTCAGTCTCCTTAAAAAGCAGAGCATCCAGCAGTGACTGTGACTGCTAGTGTTATAGTCTTAAACCATAATAAAAAAACATAACTGGTGATACCGGATTCTTTCTCGGCCCCATAAATGTTCCATAGCAGCCCAGTAAAGTGAAACCTCTCCAGTGTGGCTGTTTTTGTGTTAACTGGAATATTATTACTGTACTTAAAGATTCTATATGATGCTACAATTTCTGTCCCTGTTTATGTTATTTCTATTTCTATTATCTCCCTCTTGGAGAATAGAGATTGAGGAAATGCTGGAAATTGCCTCATAATCATCTTTCAGTGGCTGTGATGAAATTATCTCGTTTACTCTCTAATAGGAACGGATCCAAATGTAGCGGTTCCCGTTACATTATCGAGATTACTTATCGATTGTCGTTGGGTTCTCACTCGCTCTGTCCTGAGCGTTACCACCATCACTAAGCAGCATAGCAACAACGTTACACTGGTGCAAATGAGTTGCGTGTTGTGCAGTCAGATGTCTGTTTCTCTTTGTGTTGTGACCAGTGTGGGGTCATTACTCGAAAAAAGAAATGTATTACACTTTCCACAGAACACTTCCTTTAAAAGTAATACAGTACATTACTCTTACTCAAAAGTAATAAAAGAGAAAATCATACATTATTCTACTCATAACATTACTTTCATCTTCCTCTGTAGAATCACCTGAAATACACTCTCATTATTACCATTTAACAGTATAAACCTACCAACACAGACCCCTGTCCTAATGAGGGCACACACACACACACACA